CTCTCTCTCTCTCTCTCTCTCTCTCTCTCTCTCTCTCTCTCTCTCTCTCCCTTCCTTTCATACTCTCTGATTTGATCATGAGTTCAGAAGAAATATGAAAATATCCACATGCATGTGCCTAGTGCCTACCCCTCTAAATCTGTGTATTAAGTAACGAAAACTACCTTTTTTGTTCTCACTGTCCGTCTTATCCTTTTTGTTTTATGGTCTTTGACATTGATTAATTTTTCATATTATTAATCTTTTACTTGTCCTTCCCTGTGTGTTTTAAATTTTGTTTAAGAAGCCCAATTTTCTTGCTTATGATATAGCATTAGTAGCCTTCCTCAATGATCTACACTCCCAATTCAAACTAAACATAAACAAGGATTACTTGAAAAATCGTCTTACATTGTTTGGATGATTAATTTTGGCCCACAATTTTGTTCTCAGGTCATAAAGAGCAATGACCAGTACCTTAAACACTGCTCTTCACTCTGTATCTCTCTCCATGTCATTTTTGTTCTCATTTTCTATCTGTCTGTCTATTCCTCATATACCTCCCCTACCCCCATTTGCCTGCTACTAATGTTTCCTGTGCTGCATTTGCCACTCTCTAACAACAACCCTGTCACTGAGTCGGCCTGGCCAGCCATTATAGAGCTTCCCCTGGTTCATTCCATTCATATATCTCTTTAGCCACCTTACACTTGAGTCAGTGTCACAAAGGGTACCGCTGATCTACACTTACTTACCCCATTAAACATCAAACTCTGCCTGCCATCACCACGGCAATGAAACACACAGAAATCAAGTTAATATAATATTCAATATCGTCAAGAGATTAAATGCTCTCTTATCGGCCGACGATGACGAGTGCTGAAGCCATTTTCTGCAAAGGCATAGAAAGAAATCGCTTGGAGATCAAAGTAACCGCCATGGTGCAGAGATGCATACAGTACAAGGAAATATTCAGCAATTTTCCTTTATTTTTTTCATTCCTAGTTCTCTCTCTGTCTCTCAATCCCCTCCTTTCCATTCTCTTCTCCTTTTTAGTATTGAAATGGTAAATTACATTCATGTTACCATAGTTACTGTGTTTTCATTTTCTCAAAATTTGAAAACTTGTTTTTGGTATATTTGAAAATGCCAGGTCAGAATTAAATTTAACAAATGGATCTGTGGTATTTACATGTGTAGAGCTTTTATTTTACCTAATTGAATTTCTCTTTTACACATTGTGCTAGGCACATTTAGATGTTTTTAAAGGTATGCTAAGTAAAAATGGTTATTCTTATTAATGTTTATAAGTATACCTACAGATTTTTCACAAATCATCAAATCAACAAATCATCTGGATTTTCTTGTTTCCATATAGAGTATTAATTAAAGCAAAAAAGTACATCAAGACATAACGATTGAATTGTTTTGTTTTCATTGTTCTATTATATTGGCTTCTTAAAGGGTCCTTGAGAACTAACCAATATGTGGCTTCTTCGTCAAGGACTAGTGAAGGTAAAATGACGACAGCTTGAGGGAGTTGCTCTTGTTTGAGATTTTATTTTCCTGTTGAATTGGAGAAATTACTTTTAATGTTCTTGAAATAAATGCACATCCTTAAAATCCATTTTAATTTGTAATAGCCTTCATTCCATGTATGTGCGTAATAGATACCAGAAGTAATAATAGCCACAAATTAATTTGATAATGTAGAATAAACTTATTCTTGTGTTTAAAGGTAATACAAAGTTTTGGTATGGGATGATGAATTTGGTTCAAATGAACATATTGGAAGCATATGCGATCCTACAATATTCAGTGATCGTTTTCGAGGTCGAAATCGACTCTAAATTTATGAAATTGTAAATAATAAACACTTTATGTTGTATAGCTCCCTCTCAAGGTCAAGATATTATTTAAGCTATAAAACAATGTATCTTGACTAAAATCGACCGATTAGCTATTCCCGTTCGGAAATTATATAGCACAACTACATATTCTGAGATTTTCATGGTCGCAGCTACCATTGTACGGCCGTAGGAGCTATTTGAAATTCATCAACATTTACCGGGAGCACCGGTAAATCTTTATATTCGATTTTTCTCAAAAGCAGAAGTGTTTTAGGGGCTAAAATTTCTAGTGCTTTTAATACATCCACAGGGGCATCCAAATATATCAAAATTGTAAAGAATCATTATACACCCATTTTTCCAAATTTACCAAAACTTTATAATACCTTTAAACATATGAATAAAACTTATTTCATATTTTTCATCAGTCTTATGAGTCTTGTGCTGTACAAAAGTCACAACTACAATGCAGATTATTTGTGCTCCACTTATTATTTATACTTTGCATTTTTCGCACATGAATCCTACATTAATTTAATTACATAAGGAAAGAGTATACTTGTCTATGGTTTTAGAAGTTCAGTGCAATGAAAAGAATTAACATATATATATTCTGTATATAGTTCACAGTTGTAGGTTCTTAAATTGAACTTTTATTTTTCTTATTAAAATTAAATATTGGTAGCATTTCTTTCCACATTGCTTGATACTTCTTCTTTTTGTTGATGCGTGATTTAAGGCTGTTATACATTTACCCATGGAAAATCAGTGTAATAATAAATCCAATGCACCTCGGACTGCATAGCCTATAATAGGCTTACTGGATAAGTGTTACTGTTGCTAAGATTGCAAGTATAATGCAAGGTGGTGGTCCCCACATCCGAACTTGATCTTCATATTGATTCTTTTGTGCTCATGAGAAGAGATGAAGATGATTGATGTTAGTTCTGGGAGAGTCTGAAGTTATAAATGTTGACATTTCAATTAGTAGCCTTGATTGAAAGATATTGCCTGAGGACCTTGAAAACCAGGAGACCCCTACCTGATCATTTGTAGGTCTGTCTGACTTTCTGACTGTACCTCTCTCCCTCTCTCCCTCCCTCCCTCCCTCTCTTCCTTATTTTCTCCCCTTTCCTCCCCCACTATCTCTTTATCTTGTATGCTTTCCCAATCTTGCTCCCTGTCTCTTCATCTGTTCCCCTCCCCATCTTTTTCTCCCTCTTCTCCCTCATTCCCCTCTCCCTCTCTTTCCCCTTCTCCCCATCTATCTCCCTCTCACTCATCTCTCTCTTTCTCTCTCTTTCTCTCTCTCTCTCTCTCTTTCTCTCTCTCATCTCTCTCTTTCTCTCTCTTTCTCTCTCTCTCTCTCTCTCTCTCTCTCTCTCTCTCTCTCTCTCTCTCTCTCTCTCTTCCTACTCCTACCTACCTACCTACCTTTACCTTCTTATTGATGAATCTCCCTTCTCCTACTGCCGTCTATCTCTCATATTTTAATATCGCATCTCTCTATCTCTCATGCAGGCTGTCAACATCCCCTGCTGGGCTATTTGTGTTTCATTCATTCATGATATATACATTGCTCTTGGCAGTGTAATGATCTAAAGAGAATCCTTCCTCATTAAATCACTTATTCATGAAATGGTTATTAAAAAAAAAATGAAAGGTTAACCAGAGAATCATCTCCATATGTCAAAGATTTTGGAATCCTCTTCATTCTTTATCATTAAAAGAAATACTTTGTTTCATTAAATCAATTCTAGCATTGCCATCGGATCAGTGTTAGGCACCAAGGTGAAAGCACACTGATCAAATAAATTATGACATTTCAAAATCAAACTCTATTGTTTATTCAAAGCCTTTTTGTTGGCACTGTACAAAGATTGTTAGCTTGTCAACCCTTAACATGATTTTAATAATACTCTGATTTATCATTTATATACATATAATACATGTATAATGGTAGCGTGTTGTAAACTTCAGATTAATTAAATATTAAATGAAAAGATATTATTTGTGTTTATTATTGTTTGTTTTTTGGGGGGTTAATATTTCTTCTTTTTTGTATTCATTTGTCACTATATCATGCGTGTTTCTTAAATTACTTTTTGTCATTATTAATCACTGAAACATAATGATAACTTAGTAGGATATGAATATAATTTTATATTTATATTACATTTATATTATATAAAATGAGTAAAATAATTCAACAAGAGAGAGGGAGAGAGAGAGAGGGAGAGAGAGAGAGGGAGGGAGAGAGAGAAACAGAGAGAGAGTGGGGAGTGTAATGAATAACAGAGGGATGGGGAAGAGAGGAATAGAATGAGAGAGGGATAAAGAGAAACAGGGAGATTGATAAAGATAGACGGGGAGAGCACGAAGGAAGGAATCAGGGTAAGATGAGAAGGTGAGGATGAAAAAGAGAAAAAGACAAGAAAATGAATGAAGAAGGGGATAGAGAGGGAGAAAGAGATGTGGAGTAGGAACATAGATGAAGAGGGGAGGTAGAGAGATATAAATGAGAAAGATAAATGGAGAGAGAGAGGGAGAGAGGTGGAAAAAGATCATAGAGGGAGAGGTAACGAGAAAGAGAGAGATGGGGGAGATGAATATATTTGAAGAGGAGATATGGAAGGAAGGCCTGTAATGCTTCCATTAAGGATGGAAGACGGCTCATAATGATATTAGATTGGACTGATTGATGGGGTGAAATGGTGCATGAAAATTAACATCGTTATGACCAGTATATTCCTACCCATGAAGAGGTAAGACAGCTAAGTAGGTCAAAGCAGTCACTGTCGGCTACCTTCTATTCATAATGCAAAGGCCATCATCTTAAACCCCACCCAGACTGTATTATTCATCCCACCCACCTCTTTATAACATTCTCCCCTCTCCCTACCCCTTCTTTCATTTTCCTCTGTCTTGTATACTTCACTTTTTATTTCTCTCTCACACACTGTATCTGTCTATCACACTCTCTTTCCATCCATAATGAATTTAACCAGATACTAACTTTCTTTGTGAAATTGAATTTGTCCATAGAACCAATTACAGGCTATGTGGGTACACACTGCTCCTATCTCATTACAGGGTTTTCTTTCCACCCCACACCATTATCTTACACAGATTTACATCTTTATCCACAATTTATAGATGCACACATTTCAGTCAAATATATATATAGATTTTATTGATGCAATAAAATAGTGTCATGTCTATACAATAATACTCCCATCCAAACTGGATGAATTAAGCACAGTTTCAGTCACATTGATAGTCCATGTTGAGATATAATAGAATGCCAAATTGAAAATAAGTAAGCATTCATATTTTCCATAATTTTTAAGAACACTTAGCCACCGTAATGGGGTCACAAAAAAAGGGGTTCTCTTATAGATGCTTACTGTAAATGGCTTAATTCTCAGTGTAAACTATTTGAAAGAATTACAAAAGTAAAGAGAAATGGAAGCTCATTCATATTGCAGGCTGGCTGAGACATTTATCATGTGCCTCTGACTTGACTTTAGGACATAACCACTATGCCTACGTTTATAATCTTGCAATTTCCAATAAAATCTGAGAGTCTGGTTTTATTAATTTCTAATAAAGAATTCATATGTTTATATCATGATTACGGTAAAACAATCAGAGCTATTTTATCACAAGGAATTGTACGTTTTTATATGGCGTCAATTATTTTTCAGGAGAATCCCTCTAACGATGAAAATAATATAAAACAACAAAAACAAGAAAACATGTAATTTGTAATGATTTATGGCAAGTCCTGTATCCATTTCATCATATGATATTGCTCATCTACATGTATTAATATCACATTTTGATAAAAACGCAATTTAAATAGTTTCATTACATGGCAGTGTTACTGTAAGTGGTATCTATGTTTTTCTGTGATTTGCTTTAAAGGTCATGCCAGTAACGTCAACAAAGTTTAAAACATTCATAAATTTGTATTGTATCCTCTTTAAAAAAATTCAGATAATACTACTAAAATGTTCTTTTCCCTCTTTTCTTCATGGTTGCTTGCTTGGTAGATGATCTGGTACTTCTCCAATAGCAGTCGGTCCTTATGCACAGATTTAGGAATGTTATATGCTTTCACCCTCTGCTTTTCCTTTTCTTGATTTTCTTCAGCGATTGTCATTATTTCATTTTACTGCATTTCTCTTGTTAGTTATATACTCTAAATAATTCTTACATTACACTTGTTAGGTTTAATGATGTTAGTCTTTATATGCTTATATTAATGGAAGTCAGTATGGTTCTTTAAAAGATATATGGATAATACATGTACTAATATTCAATACTTCATTTGATGTTCTCTTAACTTGATAAAACAAGAAATAAATTTAAGAAATTTGATATATTTAAATCTAGAGCACATTTCACATGATCTTGAACATGATTTAAAACTATGCTAAAGATCTTACTATAGTATATCGTCAAATAAAACTTATCATTCAGCTTCCTAATAAATTCTTCACACACAGGGCCGACTATATAGTGTTTTGGAATGCCATAGCAATATGATCGCCTGTCAAGGTTAAAATATAGTTAGCACACAAATGAAAAAGGTGAATAGCAAACAGTAAATTTGTATTTCATACCTAATAGATTATTGTTGACATCCTCCATTTACAATTTAGTATTTCTATCGTATTATTTACAAAAATATATATATATTCTGTTTTGCTTTAGTATCAATGTTCTGCACAACCTTGGAAATCCGTACCAAATTTTTAAAAAATGCCTGCACTGAATGATTTCTAGACTAAATTTCCATGGGTTCTTCCAATCAATTAGACACAAAGGCACATATTATGCTACTCAAATTTAAACCTGGTGCTGGGCTAAAGCTTTTGTTCAAAATCAGGTTTAACAAAGGAACTTAGTCTGACATCTAAGTTTTACTTTTGTATAACATGAATTAAGACCTATGGTTAGGTTCAACTGAATTAGAAGACTACATGTATAAACCAAAGAACTTACAGCTGATGTAAGCTTAGCATCAATTTGCTAGAATAATGTCTGTATTAGTAGACTACAAATACTGTTAGTGACAGTTTAAAATGCTATAGATATCAATACAGGAATATCTCATTAATCTGTATTTAGCCTACAGGTGTATATAGGGATGGGCAGTCAATTGTCTAACAAAATATATGTACTTTGATTGATTTTTTGATTTGGTTGGTGCCTGATTAAGTTTAGGCATTGCTTAAAGGGATCATACAACTGTAAGTGTCAGGATACTAATAAAATGATACGAGATGTTTCATCACTATTTACATTGTTTATTTACAAAGTCTCTTTCGCGGTATAAAAAACAACAATGGGTAACACTTGATGATCACACAACTGACACAAGGCCTATTCCTACCCCTACAATTCCTGACAACGCTTGGAAATATTAGAACCCTAAACTATAGTACCCCAAATAATGTTTAAACGTACTACTTTTTTCAACAATGTATGCTTTGCATGGCAAGATGGGTACATGATCAATAATCCAACATTTCAAAAGTGGACAAGAAAGCTCCCTTCAATATTTCATTTATTCTTTTATATCTTTCTAAAGTTAACACTCACAACTGTCACACAGAGAAAAGACAAGATTCATTAATGAACTCTTTGATCAACTGAAGATGGCAAGACATGAAGATAGCACTTGTGATAATACTGTCGTGGGTCTGACCGAACTGTCCTATGTGCAATAACCTTTGACCCTTTATGACCTGTACTTGTGTTTGATGAACAATCACAGTTCAGATGCTTCTGGGTTAGCCTCTCTAGTTCAAATAAATAGCGATCCTCTGCATCAGGGACCGTCTTATGCATGAAATCAACCAGACGGAACAAGTACTCTGCATTGTGTCCAGTCCTGCCCCACGAAGAAGCGACAACCCTTGCCGCAGCCTCGACCGAGTCTGGTCCCACAAAGAGCTCGTTGTCGGGCGTGGCTCGGAAGGCGATCGCTTGCACGGTGGATTGGTCCTTGTCACTGACGATGTTGAAGGTAACCTGCTGGACCTGGTAGCAGCCTAGAAGACACTCCCGCATGTTGAGATGAAGAAAGGCCTTGGTGATCTGCTCACTGCCCTCTAACTTGAACACTACACCCCATGCTTGACCCTGCACACAAAAACATAAACAAAAGAATATGATAATTATATCATGATTTCACAATCTTTTATCTTTTGAAGGAACTTGTTTACTGATCACATCTTTTGATTCTTTGAATTTTATCTTTGATGATTACTGCTGGTTTTAAAGAAAGAAGAATAGATGTGAAGGCTACGAAGTATAATATCATCTATTCAGAAGCCTGTGTTTAAGTATATAAGCTAATACCCTACTGGCTCCAATATGCTCACTTTGGCTAACATGTTAATTGATATACTCGGCTACAAGAAATACAAAATTTTATTCAGTTTATTAGAAAATGAAGAATGGATTTCCACAAATTCTAGTTGCTCCTACAATAGAACAATCCTTATCTTTTTTTTATTGAATTTTCTGAAACAGTTTGTCTCATTATGCTCTTGTGAACATTCAAAAATTGTGTTTCTTCTTTATATGTCCTTTGGCAAGACATTGATCTACATTTGCCACACTCCACCCAGGTGAAGTAAATGGGTACCTGGCAGGAATTTATTCCTTGAAATGCTAGAGCGCCGTATGGCAGCTGTGCTAAAGCCAGGGTAATAATCGGGAGCGCCAGGAGGGTCAAATCTGACTGACATGAGCGCTATACAAGAACCCACTATTATTATTATTATTATTATATCCGTTGTATATGCATTCATGTGCATACACAAATATTTTGTAATATATAAACTAAACAAGAATCACATGCTTTTAAAAAACTATTTTGTAATGTAATACTACACAAGGCCATGAGAGTTTACTTACCGTAATTGTTATTTTGCAATGAATGTAACGTATGAACATTATATTGTATTGTGTTTATGCCTTATGTGTGATCATTGTTTATGTCAAGCTAATTAGTTACCAAACAAATCAAATCCTTCAACCATTCAGCATTATTTACTCAAACCATTTGCAATGCCAATGTCATTGCGAGGAACAAGAATCATATAGGATATAAAAACGCGAAACATTCTTTACTCAAATTCTAGATGTCAAGTCTACGCCCTCATCCAACAAAATAGCTGCCAAAAAGCATGATGCAACATTATTGTAGAAGCATTCTACTGTCAAGTGAGTGCAGAGTGGAGGTAAGAACTGTTTACATAGCCAGCTGTGACATACCCCACCCATTAACCTATCAGGTCACATCTGATCCACTCATGAGAGTGAATAGGATTTTCATCTGAGATGGTTTATTACCGGGGGGGGGGGGGGGGGGGGGGGGGTACTCACATATTGAGACATACGGGGTGGTGCCGCTCTAATGGGTCACTTTTCACCAAAAAAATCCCTAAACATGGGTCCTATTTTTAACAAAAATATCCTTAATATGGGTCCGCTTTTTCAAAATTTCAATTTTTTGTGTGCCTGAAAATCGTGAAAAATCCCCGAAAAGGACCCTTAAAAATGGGTAGGGGTTTTAAGGCTTCAGCCGCACACCCCTGTCCAAACCAAATTAGGGCAAAATGATAACTTGCCCAATACATGACATATAACACTACAACATCTTGGTTTGTTCTGTGTACTTTTCTTTAGAAACACTGATCCACAAGAAACTGTTCTTTCTAATCAATTTTCAAGATGCATTACAGCTATTTTTTTCTAAGTTTTAAAGGTAATACAAAGTTTTGGGAAATTTGAAAATTGGGTGGAAAGTGATTCTTTACAATTTTGATATATTTGGATGCCCCTGTAAATGTATTATAAGCACCAGAAAAATTAGCCCCTAACACACTTCTCCTTTCGAGAAAAATAAAATATAAAAATTTACCGGGAGCTTCAAATAGCCCTACGGCTGTACAATGGTAGCTGTGACCATGAAAATCTCAGAATATGTAGTTGTGAATGTGATATATAATTTCCTAACAGGAATAGCTAATTGGTCTATTTTTAGTCAAGAAACATGTTTTATAGCTTAATTACTATCTTGACCTTGAGAGGGAGCTATATAACATAAAGAGTTTATTATTTACAATTTCATAACTTTATACTCGATTTCAACCGCAACAACCATCCCTGAATATTGTAGGATCGCATATGTTTCCAATATGTTCATTTGAACCAAATCCATGACCCCATCCCAAAACTTTGTATTACCTTTAAAGTTACCAGGCACTTCATCTTGTTTCTTACAGGATGGTATTCAGAGGATGAATGCATCTTGTTATCGTATTTTAAATTCTACTTCATCTCATTTCCAGGAACAGAACAGAGAGGCAATAGCACAGGGGGGGGGGGGGGGAGGAGGCAATACCAATCACAACAATAGGCACATACAAATTTAAACTTCCAAGAGAACACAATACATGGATTGTTCCAAGGTCGAAACAACAATAAAGATGCAACCTTGTATTGTCTTCACAATGATAGCATGTATGTGCACGTTTGTCATTGATAATCTGCTTGAATCCACAAGATACTATCCAGGAGTGAACATTAGGAATAATATACGGATGTTACCAAGGAAACCCAACCCAAGTAATCGACCTTCTGGATTAAAAGAGAAAATGAATGTTTTCCTTGTACATTGATAGTCTTTCTGCTGTCATTGTCAACGTCCTTCAAATGACTTTCATGTGATGTCATATTATTATTTTCTCTCGTTCTTTTATATCCACATCATGCTGCACAGCCATGATCATAACGTATGATGGAAAGTTTTAATTATAATGTCAATTCATTACTTCCTCTCTCTGGTGATGTGAAGAGAGGCTTTGCCCATTGTTACCCAACATTGTCAGCTCTAGAGCTTTTTTTTTTCTTCTTTCCTGGTATTTAAAGCTGACATAACAATGAATTCATTGAAAAATTGCAAGCTTTGCATAGTGTCAGGATAATCCAATATTTCTCCACCCTTCCGAAAAGAAGACTTACAGGAAACCATTGCCATTGTTACACCTCAATGTCAACCTCAATGTCAACATCGTTTTCTGTCTCCTCCCTCATTTCTATAGCTGACGTATCAGTGAATTCATTAAGAAAATGCAAGCTTTGCACAAATTTCATTGTGAGTGTTGTTCTACAGACATATTGTAGTATTGGTGAGAGTAAAACAAGACATGGCTAGTCTGAACTGAACTGAATTGTTGTCAAACAATATTTGACTTATGAAGGTGACTTTGAGATATTAGACATGGAGCATGACCAGCCAGGTATCATCTGGCAGTACTCTAGAAGCAAAGATGCCTTCCTCATCACGTGATACGTTTCCATAGCAGATTGTCAATGAAACTTACTAATAATTTGCCAGTTAAACCCACATATGCCTCTGATCAACTTTTAATGGAGTATTCTAAGACTATTCTTCCTCACACTGCCTTCCTCTCTTGCATCTAATACCAGCACTTACAATCGATAAAGAATGCTGGAGACAGGCTAGTCTGCATTATACAGACACCGTTGAAGACGTTGTGCATGAGAGAAAATATACACCTTGCATGCAATAACCACACTGGATTGTCATTGCCTCAACATCATTTATGTACGCCTATGACTTTCTTGACCAGTGCTCAAAATACACGGGGGCGATGGGCGATTCGCCCCCGTGAGCTCCATAATCCCCCCCCGTCAGGTTGCTCACGGGGGCGATTGCAAAATTAAAAATCGCCCCCGTGGAATTATAAAATTAAGATTATCTTTTCTGATATAACTTTATCACAATATTGAGTATTAATTTTCAAACCTTAAACCAATGAAATGGAACTTAGATGGCGCTTTCTCTACCATCTCTACGAGTATTCCCAATACAAACAACGGAAGCTCGCGGTGCGGCCGTCAGTACCGGTGTGCACGCTGACGCCCTCTGCTGGAGCTGGAAATCGACAATCGCGCAAGGACTGAAACATGGAGAAGTTTTTCGTTGTGAAAGTTTGAATCCTCTGAAATCTGGTGATTCTTAAAGACCAGCAAATAATGTAACCCGACCAGTAAATCAATATTGAGAAGAAGAAGAAGGCATAAGATGTTGCAGGGGCGGATCTAGGCGGTTTAGGGGGTTTAACCCCCCCCCCCCCCCTCCCCCTTGGGCTGCCAAGGAAAAATGTGATGTGCACAGAAAAATGCTAACATGTGTCCAGACCTACACAGTATTAGTAGATGTCAGGAAAACATCACTAACGGGGGTTCAAAAAAGCACCAACAAATCGCCTCGCCGCCTCGCGGCTCATGGATGATGATCTGCATGTTAGTAGATGCCAGGAAAACACCACTTACGGGGGTTCAAAATAGCAACAACAAAAATCGCCTCGCCGCTACGCGGCTCGTGAACGATGCTCCACATCATATTTGGGGTACCCCCCCCCCCCACCCTTAGCAAAAAGCTTGATCCGCCCCTGTGTTTTGGAAGGATATGGTAAAGACTAAAAGTAAAGAAAGAATGTAAATAAGGTTGCTTCGAATAATGAGGAGGAAATTATGTGCAGAACGGGAAGAAATGGAGAAAATGTCCTCACGGGTATAAAAGTCAATAACAGCTATGTAACAAGTAAATTTCTAAGAGGAAAAATACCGACTTAGATAAATGATAATGATAAAATACCAAGGAGTTTCACGGGTACCAATTTAATGGAAATTTGTATTAAAATAAGAGCCCCCATCAGCACTAAAAGCGCCCCGTGAAAAGGCTCACAGGGGCTCTTTTTTTTTTGGAAGAGCCCCCGTGGGCAAAAAATTAATTTGAGCCCTGTTCTTGACCATAACAGTAAATAACAGTAAATAACACACCATCCCTCCTGACCTGTGTAGGCCTATGTAATGTTCTATATCTGACCTATAAGCTCAATACTGTATAATCATCAGACGACTGGACATTTGCAAAGGTCACATGCTCCGTCGTCGTATTAAACACTTGTCACATCAATATCAATTTAGAGAAACTTGTACAGGAACGTGTATCATCTTCTCTCCCATGTTAGTGCATGGTATCGACCCATGATATCTTGATGTGTGCCTTATCAAAAAGACTACAGCACTGACTTATTTTTGCATCCTCCTTTGACCCCAAGTTCTTTCTTTGTTGGCTATTAGATATCGGGTTTATCTCTACAACAAGAACAGGGCATTATTTGATGAAGTTAACTTATCCTTCACTTTTTTGTTTCCTTTAACAGGAGTGCAAATTTTGGAAAGTGTGCTAGGAAAATTGGGGGAAAAAAATACCCTTCCACCTCCTTTGTGCATGTTGGATGAATACTGTCATCGTTATGGCCTAAATATTTGCTAGTATTTGATATTGCCAGATTGAACAAAACAAAAAGTAATATATGTACATGTTGTATACACAATGTTAAGCAATTGATTGTTAGAGTGACTGCCTTTACATGGTGCTTCTAGGAAGTATATTTGTTTGACACTAACGTACTAACCCTATTCATAGTCCCAATAATGCACACCAAGGTTAGGGATTATCTGCCAATCAATACTAGCTAGCTGATCAATGAATTTCAGTTAACCATGGAAGGTTGAGGGGTTGACCCTTTAGGCTTGTGTGACTACCAAGGTGTGTCAAGGCATACCTGGATGAACAGCCCATCAATAATCTCAATTGAAAGTTGATTGAAGCAAATTTCAACTTAGTAATTGCTGGTGATTTTGTTTTAATTTGTTTGACAAGCTTTTTGTTTTCTTGGTGTTTCTGCTCAAATTAAGCAAATGCTAGTTTATTATGTATTTTGTCCATTGTATTAAATATTACTTTATTAGCAGGAACCTTGTCTCTTTCTTTTTAAATATGTTTTTAGGATACTAGACAATGAGTCTCAGATCTGATTATGTTGGTTACATGGCAGTTATCATCTGATAAAAAACAAATCTTCCTGGAAGATTGTCTCATTCCTCCAATCATTATGAAAGTTTTACATACCTCTTTTTGTTCAACCATTGTTGCAACTCTCCCAGGCTGTAATGAAAAGAGAAAGAAGATCATAGTAAAAGTTGTTTAAAAAAAAAAAACAATCATAACTAGCATCAAAAATCCTATAATACCAAAGGAAAATTATTCCTTACCGGTATTAACATTATTGTAGAGATTGCTCAAAAAGGGTAATGACAAAATATAAATTATGGAAATGATATAGTATACAAACATTATGAAGTACATGTGTATACATGTACAAACTCATATCATGTATTCTTATTCAACACTACAAATGAAATCCAAAGGCAAATTTCTCAATTCTCAATATATATTTCAATATAATGTGACATGTATCCATTGTCTGTCATATCTAATGACATGACAATCGGACAATGGACACTACATGTTTTGTTTAACTCTGTGACTGCCATTATCAGAAATGACAAGGAGATAAGACATTGATATCGTTCCAGCCATGTAATCCTCAACAGGAAACCAAGATTATGATATTAATGTCACCGTAATATATGTTCTGTCCGAATGACTCACTGTATTCTCTAATTTACTTAAACGTCTTTTCCCTTCTTCTTTCCATGATGTCATAGGCATGACAAAATCTTCAAACTCAAGATAACATATCTTCCCTGTGGTGTCTCTAACCACTATGTTGTGGTTTTGAGATAGCTCAGGTTCAAGATAGGTTCATGAGGGGATGTGTGGGGTTTTCATGCACCTCGAGTATTACTCATAATCCTAGGTAAACATTATTCATGTACTAGACTGATTCATTATCATTTTCAATTCACTTCAATGATGCATGTCTTTTTAATGAACTACTTGAGAGAAAAAAAGCATTCACAATGATTTAACTCACTGGACCATACACAGTGGTTTTACCACATTGCATGTCTAAGAAATATTCACAATGGTTCATTCTGACATGGCCATGACTACCTGCTGTCCATACATAGAAACACCTCTCCATCCATCAAAACTACCAATTACATGTAAATCTTAATTTACAAACTTTAATGTGTTATTTTGTGAAATAAGATTAAGAATTGTGTGAAATATTAATGATACACTTTCCTCTGGAGCAATGTGGAATATTGCATAAATACAGTCAGTAGTAGGCCTAATGTGTTTTATTATATTGTGCTGTGAGATCATTCCCCTTTTCTACATTCACTTTGACAATTTTGCTAGAGTGATCTGCAGGTATTCAAGCGAAAGAAATTGAAGATGTAATACATACCTTATCAGGCGTGCCACGATGTGATATACTGCCCTGCCAGAATCTAGTCGCATAGCCTTTCACATAGCCAATCTTCTTCTCCGTGTATTCAAAGTTTGGATGCCATATCAGGGAGCCATAGCCGAAGATCCATACACAATCTTGAGCCATCATCTCCTCTGCTGATACAATATTGTCACTGTCTGATGTCTGCGGTGCCATGTTCCCGTCCGATTTCCACCAGATTCTCCGTCTAAATGGCCTGAAAAAGTAGTTCAGATGATAGTTTTTGATGACTTGATTTGATGATAAAAATGTGTTGTCCTTTGGAAAGGATGTGCCCGCCTTGTGTCGATTACTGCAGTATGTTGAAGCTGATCAATTTACGTTGTGTTTTTTGTGATTCACGAATGCATGAGGCAGCTCACTCGTGCTTGACACATTCACCGGTTTGTTTATCATGAATAATGCATACTATTCGATTGTGACGTACACTACAGCCAATGGCACACGGTGTTAATTGGGTGCGCAGCGCTATGCGTAAGAAACGCGCGCGATGATTGGCTAGTCATCGGAAGGCTATATATAGATAGCGAACGATATGATGCAATCTTGCTTGTGCGTAAATCTGATGCAAGCAATCCAACGTGATCTGCCCACGCAGTTTTTTATGTGGTTTAGCGGAAATAAACATTCTGAATAGATGTTTACGACTGTGAAATTCCATTGAAGTACCCCCCCCCCTCCCCCCACAGATTCCCTTTACTCGTATCGTTGACATGGAGACGTACGACGCACTAAATGCTTACATCCACATGAATGCATTATGTTGTGGATAGCAGATCTTGTATTTTTGTCAATGTTTTATATTCGGGTCACATAATTATTCCTGATTCTTCGTATAACATATAAATATTGGTTATTCACATAATGTACTAACTCGTTTAAATGAAGTTAAATTCCAATATCATACCAAGATTAACATTTGACGTTATCATAAAGCAGACGAAAAGTAACATACACTAAGATATTTTGTTGTTGTTGTTGTTGTTTATTTTATTTATTTTCATTGTTGTGTGTTTTTTTTGCAATTTTTGTTCTGAAATATTTAGGGAAGCGCACTATCGCGGCCTACATTTCGCGCATAGACAGATTTAGAAGAAAACGCCTACATACTGTGATGGCTGTTGCATGGAGTTCGATGTTGTTTTGGGTTATATACCCTTCTGTCCTTGTCCCTCTGTCTGTCCTTTCGTCTTCTTCAAGTGAAGATCAATGCCAACTGTTACTGGTGATAATTTGAAGAATGTCCAGAGCTCGTTAGCCATGGACGAGAGAAAGAAAGCAAGGGGTTCCGTTGAACTTTTGACACCAGTTATTATTAGTCCCTCCTAGCTCCTCAGAGGCGCTGATTATGAGGGCACGACCCTATCGCGTGCCTTAGAACTCGTTTTTAACTCTATCGTTCAGAAACATTGGCGGATCCAGGGGCATTAAAGGGGGGGGCACGTACCCCTATGGTGAACCTAATATAATTAGTTCACTCATAGAATAATGCACCTAAAACTCTTTTTTTTAAATCCCAACAGCAATTTATTTTTTACTTGTTTCATTTGTTTTTTATTACCTTTTTATATTTTGAGGAAATTCCAAGAAGTTCTGCATGTCGAAAGTCAGTCCCTTTCCTTAGTTTAGAAGCGTGTATAAAGATATGAAAACATGTTCCAAAACCTACGTCACAATAGAGGGATTTCCCCTGTCTCTCGACCCTTCCTGTATCTTTGTATAGTCATGTCTGTGTATTGTTTGAGTCTCTCTCTCGCTCTCTTTTTTGTCTCTCATTAATTGCTTCCCTATCTAATTCATGACAAGGAACTGAAATTGAAACTCACGCAAGCTAGTGACGTTCAGCCATTAGACAATCCAATCCAATATCATAATTAATGCAACCTTCCGGAATATCTCATGTTTATGTCGCGATGTATTATTAAACGTTTATTTAAACTTCTTGACGTTTATTTTAATCTCTCTCCCTTTTTCCTATAACTGAAGAGACGGAACTATAACTAGAAAATGACGTGAGATTTTAATTAATCACTACCATTTTAGCACGTGTTGTAGAACATGTTTCTTCACGCGGCCATATCACCAGACAATCAAAAGAGAATATATTTACACTGCACTTCAGTGTTCCAGCAAATTAGTTTGAGAGCTGTAACAATACTTGGTATGTATCAGTCCAGACATTCATATCCGTTATGCGGATTAATGATTGATTATTTTGCTCAAATAATCATCCGTATACGTAGTTCGGAAGTACAGGTATCAAAAGAGTATAAAAATAGTACCAAAATCAGATACTGGGGCATAACAATTTCATCAGCTACGTCAAGTGCCTTCACGTAAGGCACTTTTATATTGCCCCGCAGAGAGGTCGAAATTTAAAAATCAATGGAATTATTTTATTTTGAATTAAACGATAAGAAAGATGCTTCGCTTCCCATGATGCACAAAGAAACATGCAAAAAGGAGATAAACAGATAGAGAGAGATAGAGAGAGTGAAAGAGAGAGAGGGGGTCTGGATGAAAGGGGTGGAAAGAAATATTGCATATTAGGCCTATGTTTTGTTTGTGGTCATCTCTACCCCTGGAGAAAGAACGTGTAAAAACACGTTAATTTTTCCTTTTGGGGAGATGGGCCCCCTCCCCTGGCGCTCAAGGGGGGGGGGGGGGGGTGCGATTTGTCGAATTATCGGCCGGCTGTTTCGCAGCTTAATATTTTCTCACGAATTTGGCCCCCTCCCCTGCTGCCGGCTGGATCCGCCCCTGGTCATACCATGCCTATTATCAAAATTATACACATTATACATTGTGTTAGTCATGTCTTTACATGATTATACGAAAGAAATTAAAACTCTCTTTGTCTCTTTCTCCAACTTGTGTACATTCCAAGCAGTAATAATAATAATACTAGCTAATTCTCATATAATAACACTTTTCATGACCGAAGGCCCTCTCAAAGCGCTTTACAGATACATATATTATTCAATAACATTAAGTGGCTTAATTACATTATAGAAAAACTGATTATCCAATAACGTGTATCCTTTATCATAAGCTAGCGTCTCAGTGGGGTTCGAGGTTTCGAGTACGATGTCATTGAACTTGATGCAACCCCAGTCGACCAGTCTAAGGTCAACCATTAAGATTGATGACCGTGATTATAATGACTGCTTACTCTCCCTCTCTCTCTCTCTCTCTCTCTCCCTCCCTCTTTCCCACTCTCTCTCTCTCTCTCTCTCTCTCTCTCTCTCTCTTTCTCCCTCTCCCTCCCTCTCTCCCACCCCCTCTCTCTCTCTCCCCCTCTCTCTCTCTCTCTCTCTAGCTCTCTCTCTCAATTTGCCTCTCTTATACCTTATGTTATGCCGCTGTCCAACAATAGTTAAATGAGCGTTTGCCCGTTTACTTTGGTCACTACTAGTAATAGTTCGGAGTAAGCATGAATTAAGAACCATCTCAACGAAAAGAACCCTTATCATTATTTCGTACATTTAAACAAAATCCTCTTTCATGACTCAACAATCTTAACATAGCTTTGCACGAGAAGTCCCGAATCCGAAACCGAGTCCCTCGGAGAGGACCCAAAGCAGGCGAATCACAAGCATATAGTACATGCTTTTTAACAGTCAGGGGACAATCGTCATCAAACAAACCCTGCACGAGTTTAGAAAACCACCAACGGACCAGACGCCTCAGCTCTCTATGAAGACATTGCAATAAAGCACTAAGTCGTATCGTGACTTGATAATGACATTTAGTGTTGTGCCATAAATTTCATAAATACAATAATGCAAGATTATGTACGTAACGGTTTAAAGGTAAAGACCAGTAATGGTCATGCGATTGCATTGTGAAAGAAACGTTGTGGAATCGATCAGAAAAGGTTGATCATCTAGCATCTAGCATCTGCAAGGTTCTGGAATCATCAAAATGATAAGAAATTTGGCCCATTCTTCGTAAAGTTACAAGCACTACACAGAAAGATGTATATGGGACTACCCTATCTCTCTCACCAGACCATGAGAGAAATAAGTTTACCAAATATATGAATTAGTAGGCGGTTTCCCGGCAAATTTTTTATCATCATGTATTAGTCAAAACATATTCTTTCACATGATTGGTAATGAGAGCTTCCATTTCATTTTTTGAAATTGGGGCGTTGCCAATACTGGTCTTTACCTTTAAGGAAAGTTGTAAAAATCTACATCAATAGTGAGAAAGCATAATATTCTTTTGCCGAATGTCGGTTTCAATTCTTAGCAATTCTTAGCAACGGTAAAAATATTTTATCAAGTATAACTGTTATTGAGTCCGTTTGAAGAATTTGTGATTAATCATCAATTATTATGATATACTATCTTACTGAAGTATATACTTAAAATCATTATTGTCATAATCGTTATCAATATCATTTTCGTCAACATCACCATCATTGTTATTTTCATCATAATCATTATCATTCATAACTATCATGAATTAATGGTGTTATTGTTATTCTCACTATTCTGCTCTTCCCCTTCTTCTTCTCTTTCTTCTTCTGCTTCTTCTTCTTCTTCTTCTTCTTCTTCTTCTTCTTCTTCTTCTTCTTCCGTTCTTCTCTTTCCTTTTCGTCTTTAATGCTATGACGACAATCTTCACCCACATGACAGAAAATTATTTTAAAAGGAACGACAGCATTTTTATTCTTTTGTCGTTGGTATAATTCATGTTTGATGTTTCAGATGGTAGATAATGCAATCGTGCGTCTCAGACACAGACAAATTATCCTCAAGCGAGTGCTAGTTGTAAAAGGGGTTGATGCCCCGTTCAAATAAATATCTCTGAAGATTGATCAAATTCTGTTAACAATTATATCCAATCACGGGTTTAATACCAGGAAAATTGCAACTTAGCTGGTGCTGAATCACCTTTAGCGTGAAAGATTGAAGATTAATCTTGTTGTAAGCCGCCACATCTGATGTCCATGTGCCGATCCCGATCCGAGGACTGTGAAAACACTCCCGCTAGCTCTCAACTTTTAATTAACCCGAATTCTTTTATCGGCACGCAATAATTAGAGTTTAAATAGCAAGAGGCCAAGTTTAGAGCACACCACGGTTTGGCTTTCGGCTACTCCGGGGGTCTGTATCTCACATAAGGACCCCTGAAATGTCAGGAGAAACGGAGAGGGATTAGGAGAGGGAATGGGTGAGTAACCGAGTTAATTATTAGCTCAGCTTTGCCAGGGTGCCTAATTTTTTGCGTTGCGATGACATGTCTGTTATGCTACAGTCACACGGCCATGTTACGGACCTGCGGATGCTTACGTATATTTCATCCGCAGCAAAATTTTGAGATTTTCAAAATTCCGCTGCGGATCTGGGTATGTCTGCGGATCCTGCGGATTGAATTACGGATGGATACGGATGCTTACGGATGATACG